ACAATGCTATTTTCCAGTTATTCATAGCCCTCAAATCTATACAGATTACTAATGTACTTACCATAAATGATCCCAGGCCAGGGACATGTTAGAAGAATTTTATAGATATGGACTCTCCTGCTAGCAAATACTATTATTTTGTTTGCCAGAGAGTGTGCATTACCATATTCATAAGATCACATTCTTGTCTGCTTTCTTAGGAGCATTCCCCTATGAAGGGAGAAGACTGCATATTGTGTGCTGAACTCTCTCTACTGTCATTCATTGACAGATGAAAAAGTGTTTTTCATTTTTAAGTGATGTTAAACATTTATTCATGTGCTTGTAACTGATTTACATTTTTATAACCTCATGGGAGAGGGCACAATAGCAACAAAATCTTAGAAATTGGTAAGTAAATAAATCAAGTGGCAATTACCTTAGCTGACTTGAGAAATAGAAATCCGAAGCAGACTGAGAAGCAACCTGAGTTACACATCTGAATCTCAACATTGGCTCCAGAATGGAAAGTACCAGGTAATGTTGGAAAAAAGCACAATGTGGGCTAGAACTAGGAGAATTGATGGAATGTCTACTTAAGAATTAGATGATTCCCTTCCTCTAATCAGAAGGGCCACTCTAACTCTCCGAGGCTAACTCTCCGTCTCCTGGGCAGCTCCACCCCTCTTCCCAGGGTGTTCCTTGCCTTGCCCCTGGCTGGCTTACTCTTTTCAAAGGAATGAGTAATGTCTGGGCTACACTTGTCCATCTATCCCAATATGCCAATTAAAGAGAAAGGTAAGGGTGAAAACCTGAGAGATTTAATCAATGCTTTTTCAAAGAATAAAGGGGTTCCATGATGCCAAATTTGTCTTCAGGGTGCTGACATGAGCTTTAGTTTAAACAGTGGAGGAAATGGGGCAAGGGACAAGAGATGCATAATTAAGCAGCACTGTTCAAAGTTGTTTTGGTTGATCCTTCTCAGTTCTAATTCTGCAAGTTGCTTCCAAAGAAGTGCTTATTGCTTGAGGGGACAAGCTGATTCTCACATGATTCCTTCTGAGCCAGATGCAAATTCACCATCATGGATAATTACCTTCATCTATGGGTGGTCTATCCTGAAAAGTTATGTTGCTCTAGGCATGCAAGGAACTACAGATTTGGGACAATGGCTTGAGTCTGTGCCTTCAAACTTGCAGAAGGGTGAGGTAGGCTAGAAGAACACTCTGGGTAATTAACATGCCTATGCAAAGTCAAGCAGGAGTCTGAGCCAAAGTAAAGACAGGCACAAACTGAGGGCAGCAATGCCAGGCTTTCAGACTACTTTCATTCACCTCATGGGCCCAAGTGAAGAATCTGTGCTTTTTATAAAAAGTAGTTTCTAAGTACCCGTTACAGTGCTATTTATAATTTTCCAGGCTTACTGGTATATTCTTTAATAACCATAAACATTTTCTGTTTTCACAAATGTTAACAATGTTGTGCCCAAGGAATGGACCCCCAAATACCATCACAGAGTCCAGAGGGCATGCAAAAGCAAAGAGTCTTTATTCGGGCTTAAGCTCGGACTCTTCAACCTCACCAGTGCAGTGGATCCCCGAGCAAAGGGGGGGGGGGGGCGCGGAGTTTTTTATAGGTTTTAGACAAAGGGAGGAGGGGAATAACAGAGTCACATCTTGATTGGTCCAAGGAGCCCGTGCGCGTCAACATACTTCAAATTGATTGGTCACTAGGGGATGCGGTCTTGGGGGCTTCCTATTGGTGGGTGCTGTCTTCAGGGCTGTGGAAAGTGCTGACTGCTATCCTTGGGGCCAGAGGATCTTGTTTATTCCTTATAAGGTCTTAACATGTCTGGGCTCTTCTGACATGCCCGGGCTTGCCTAATCTACTTACAAAATGGAGACGTCAGCCAAAATGGAGTCAGTGCAGTTTGTCCCTTTAGTTCCTTTGAGTCAAGCAAATTACAGAAGTGGAAAGAGCAATTAGTCCTAAAAGGGCAGGGGTCTAGGGGCACAGGGGAGGGGGCCCAAGGAGGAGGGTTCCACAACAATAGGGGAACAAATGAACTATGACCTCAGTATAACTTTGTTCTGTGTGGCAGATGATTAAGTACTAACACATGTATTTAACAAGAACCTTACATACTTCTTGCTTGTTGATATATGTAAAATAGGGTTTTGGAAGTGTTTACTTTGGAAGCGTCTTATTTGTTAAAATAGCTAAGCATGTGCCAACATCAGCATATTACTGGGAAGTTACTCCACACCCCAAATATCTGCTTCTTTGTAAAATGCTGACTTAAAGTTTTCTATGATAGCCTAAAAGGTACAAATACGTGCTGGAAGTCTCAAATCTACCAATATGACTACTGCCTAGGGATGACTTGAAAAATCCTATAAAAACCTGTATGTGTTTCTGATTGGGGTCTCAGTTGCTCTGGAGCAGGTTTTTCCCAGTCTGGGACCCACGTGTAATAAAGAATACCTTCCTCCACATCCTGAGTATGGTCTGAGTCTTCTCGACAGGCCAGGCCCAGTCTGTGGTTAATTCTTTTTGGAGGTGGGTGGGGGTGGGGTCTTTTGGACACAGTCTCCCTGTAGCCCCAGCTGACCTGGAACTCACTATGTAGACCAGGTTGGCCTTGAACTCAGAGATCCACTTGCCTCTGCCTCTCTAGTGCTGGGATTAAAGGCGTGTGCCACCACACCCAGTTGGATTAATTCTTGTTGACATTGTTGACATTAATAATAGTTAAAAGGACTTTTTTTTTTTTTGGACAGGTGAATCTTAATAAAAAAAAAAATCACATGCAACAGTAATAACACACATTTCTTCGAGTCCAGCCAGCACTGAGCTTCAGTTTTTAGCCTTGGTCAGCCTGTACACACCCACAACCATAGCTGGTTCTAGAGCCTGATGCTCCTGGGGCTTCATGATCTCCTGCTGCATCTGCTTCATTTCAGAGGCAAACACAGCTTCTGCTGCAGCTGTAGAGTCGATGCAGCTGGCCTTAATGAAAAGCACAAAGTGTTCATTTGCAGGAAGGTGTGGGCATTCAGGGCTACAATCTGGATTGTATGGCTGGGTCATATCAGCAAAGATCACATCCACCATTGCAATAAGCATGCAGTATTTGTGTGGGTGCCGGGTGTCCTTGATCACAGGATGATGTTGGTCCTCTTCTTGGCAGTTAATGAGGTTACAACCAGAGTAGTGAGAGAACTCAAGTGTATAGACCAGACTATCCAAGCCTATGATGTCAGAGACACAGAAGACAGTGGTGCCTGAGGCTGCTCCAAGGTAGAGCATCTTGGCTCCCAGCTTGATGTGGATCTGGTCTATTTTTATGAGTAATTTTTAAAAATTTATTTTTAAGTACAGGAGTGTTTTGTCTGTAAGTGCATCTGTATGTGCAGTGTCCAGAGGCCAGAAGAGGGCGTCAGATCACCTGGAACTAGAGTTATTAGCTACCATGTGGGTCCTGGGAACTTAACCTGGGTCATCTGTAAGAGCAGCCAATGTTGTTAACTGTTGAGCCATCTCTTCAGCTCCAGTCAAAGGGATTTTTGTTTACATGATTAAAAGATGAGGCATGCATTACTGGCCCCAAAACAATCATACTAAAATTAGCAGAATTAAAGCATTATGACTAAAAACAAAGAAAAGTAGATGATTCAAGAAGTGAAAGTGACAAGCCTATATGCTGATCAGTAATCATATTGCCTTTAGCTGTCAACATGTACCAGCTGCAACTGGCTAGGGAAAGGAAGCAGGGAGTCCCACACAGTAAGCAAATACACAGATAAAAGATGAACTGAAGAGAAAAAAATAACTTCAGCGTCATCTGAGGAGTCTGTGATATCTCACCATCAAGTCCTGGTACACAAGGATGCCTCTATTCTGGGTAGGTCATTTCAGTCCAACTTACCCAGGTTTTATAGTGGTAGACTGACAACTAGTGAGTCTAACACCAGGCTTCCAGAAGCATCAGTTGTCAGCCCATAACTCACATCCCAGACCAATCAAATCTGAATCTGAGTAGAACCTAGGCACTAGTAGCTTTGTTTTTCAGGTGATGCAATGCCACGTGATCCCCTTAGGGCTGCGAATCATTGCCTTGGCCAAGGTATCAATTTGTGTGTTAAGCCAAAACAACCACATACAAAAAGAGCAGCTGGTAAATCTATTTTCTTCTTTCCCCGTGGAGTTTTTCCTCTTTGTTCTGTTCTTGAATACCTTTTCTTATTTTTATGTCTGTATAAAATACCTGGCAACGTTTTCCCCACAGAACACTATCAACAAAGGACCCATAACTATTAAGTTTAAAAGACCTATAGTGACAGGAATAAAATAAGAGAAAGTAAACACAAAGTATACTCTTGGATTAGTAAACCCAGCTACACTAGGCTTCCACGTTTAAATGCCAAACAGTGCACGAGAGGGAGGTGACTAGATCCGAGGAACGACCGTGCAAAGGTGGTTTCCTACCTTAAACTCTGTGTCCGGACTCGGTTATTTTGGGTTGCAACTAGGGGAAATGAAAGTGAGTAACCCTTCGCAACGCTCTCTAGGCCTAATTCTTGTATTAGTTAGATCGGCATCAAACAGATCTTTCATCAGAAAATGCCGCAACCTGTCTTTCCATTCTCCTTTCTATTCAGCTCCCTCGGACAGTCCCCAAAGCAACACCTTCTAACCACCCGAGAACGCAGTTCCCGCCTCTCTCGTCTCACAGCTCCCTACTCCTCCCACGCATGACGCAGGTGTTTGTCCACCGCAACTACAGGGTCCGCAGGGGATTCTCCTAGGTGAAAGAACAGCGGGAGCCATCTACTCGCTCGGTGATCTCTGCCCTGTCCTCCCTGAGCTTAGACCCGGAGCGCCGAAAGGCTCGATCACCGCGGCTTAGGCCCGCCCCCTCAGCCTAGAACTATGGACTCGCTCCCTCCGCCCACTCCAGGACTCGGAGCGCCGAGCGGCTCGATGTTCGTGGCAGGGCCCGCCCCCCTCCGCCTGGCGCCCGGCAGCCGAGCGCCGAGCGGCTCGATGAGCGGGGGCGCAGGTACAGCTTGGCTTGGTGGCTGTCTGCGCCCGTGGTCTCCCCCGCCCACCCTCCTTCCTCTGCTTCCCTCCTGCCCAGCGCAGCCAGCGGGGACTGCTGCCGGGAGCGTCCCGAGAGCTACAGGTAACTGCGGCCCGCCGGGGTGGCTGTGGGCAGGAAGGCAGGAAGACGACGCCCCTGTCTGCCACCCCCAACGTCCGTCGAGGCTGGGCGCTGGCCTGCGGGGACCCGGTCGCGAGTGGGACAGGCTGGGGCGGGGTGCGGTAAGGAGAGGGGCGGCCGCGGAGCACGGGGACCTAGGGCTGCCTGGGCCAGGGAAGCTGTGGGAGGAGCCAGGGCCGGGGTTCGAGCGGAGGTCCGGGTGCGCGGCCTGCTAGGTGAGCACCTGCTGTCCCGTGCGGGCGTCTTCATCCCCGGGCTGCGGAGAGGCAGCCTTACGGTGCTAGGAACCGCCGAAAGTGGAGGTCAATCATCACACTTGACGGGGTTTGCCAAGGAGATTTCAGTCTCTGTCCACCCAAATCACCATTTGTCAGAAAAGGGAACCGAGACTGAGAAAAGGAAAGCCTGTGCCCAGATTCGGGCTTTCTGCGAAATGAAACACATAGTGCTTGTTGTTTTGTAAAGTCAAAAAGCCACGACAGGTTAGAGGACAAGCCATTGAATAGAGAAAGCGCTGTCGAAAATGCATACATGAGATTTTAAGCGTATGATGAAGTACACGTAAGAAGCATGCCTGAGTGACTTGTGTAGTGTTCTGTCCTCGATGTGAAAATACATCAGGATGGCTGGCTCTCTAGCTATCTAGACACCCGAACCTACAGGAATATATTTTTTATATGAGGAACTGTTGGCAGAATATAGTCAAATCTAATTTCTGAGTGCAGTTTATTTCTGCCACTTGTTTGCTACAAATACTTAATTGCCCGTAGTTCATCAAGGGTAGCTAGGTGATCAGCCTGCTGTTTGGCTGGTGGCTTTTCAGTTTGTATGGCCTAGGTTTGTTGTCTTCCTGAGGCTAGTAACTTGGTTTTCAGAATTGGGGTATAGAGTTTACTCCTCATTAATGTTTGCTTTATGTCTCTTAAAACGGTTATATGAGTCTGATCGCTTCTTGGCTGTGTGACTAAGATCAGTTGTATCTGTTCTTACCAGTTTATTTTCTGTTGAAGGTTTAAAATATAAAATTCAGATATAATTAAAAGCTTGTGTTCTTCAACTGGTTGTCTACTGTTTTTTCCTATGTATTCTGTAACAGTTCTGCATGAAAATTATTCTGAAATCAAAGTATGAGGAATAAAGTGGGCCGGATGTATGTGACAGTGACAGAAATATAATGGAATAAAGAACTCTAGAGTTGTTACTCAGGTATGGTTGGCAGTTTATATGACAAGTGGTTACGTTGCTGGCTTGGAGATGTTTCTGAAGAAAAGTGTGTTTATTTACTTTGATAGAAAGCTGACTTTAATGATTACTTTGATTTGGTTTATTCTTTTTAGTGTATAACATTAATCATTAAATTACTGTCTACCTATAACCACTTTAAAGATCTTCAGGTGTTGCTTCTTGTAGAAGAGAGTAGAGAGCTTGCTAGATTGTTGTAAGGAAGCACATCTTTCTAGAGCAGAGTTGTGTAACACGATGGCAACTCACTGAATAAATACTAAAACTGATAATGCTTAGGCCCTAATTGATCCAGTCTCTACTGTTTGAATGGGGTGTTAACATTGTTACTTATCTTACTAAGTTGTAGATTTCTTTTAAAAAATTTTTATTTTATGTGTGAGTGTTTTGTCTGTATGTAAGTGCATCACATGTACAATGCCTGCAAAGGCCAGAAGAGGACATTGGATCCCCTAGAACTGAAGTTATAGGTGGTTGTGAGCCAATGTCAGGGCTGGGAGTAAAACCTGGGTCCTCTGCAAGAGCAGCCAGTGCTCTTTACTTTTGAGCCATCTTTCTAGCCCTCCAGTCTTAGATTTCTTAATGCTTACTTGAAAGGTGTATCAAGAATACAGAGAAAATGTACACCAAGTGCCTAAAAATGCTTCTTTGTCGTTGAAATTGTATGTAAATGTGCTCATCAGAGAGTAGACATTTGGAACGTCAAGCTTTTGGGAATTCTTGGATATTAAGCCATCATCTGGTCCAAGATACTGAAAATTTATATTTGCATAACAGCTATTTCTCTAGAAATTTTTGATTATGTTGCATTTGCAAGTGCTTCCTGAAAAATCACAGTGCACATTAGCATATAAAAGGCTGTGAGGTAGTTCTGTAGCAAAGAAAACCAGCTTTGTTTAACCTAGTTGTTTTGATATACAGAAAAGCTCATTTTATCCTATTCTTTCTCAGAATATTTCTGTGACCCGCAAAATGTAGGAAGGGAGCTCTCCCCACCAGATAGCAGCACTTTTTGCAGCAGATTCTCCAGCAGACACCAGCTGGAAGTCCTCTAATTCAGATCACTTCTGATTCTGTCAACTTGAAGATACCTACAACTATCCCCCACTTGAGATGCTAAGCACCAGGTTATTATGCTTGTGCTTCTGATTAAGCAGCTGTAAATTGAGGTGGCCACAGTTCCTTTCTTGGGTTCAGTTAACTTGCCAGAGTGCTCACAGAATTTAGAGAGACATGTTAGTTTGCCAGTTTATTATAAAGGCTATTCCAAGGATACAGGTGAATTATCAGATAGAATAGATGGAATAGTATGGGACAGGAGCCTAGAACTTCCTTGGCTCCCAAGGCATGCTCCCTCTAGGAAAGACCATGTATTCATATCTCAAGGCTCTGTGGGGCCCTGTCCTCTTCGTTATGTATTGAAGCTTCATTTGTAGGAATAATGGATTATGTTATTACCCATTGGGGATCAATTCAACCTTCAACATTCTGCCTTCCCCAGGGGTTGGGTTGGTGTAGACTGAAGTATTCCAACCTTTTAATCCTGCCTTGGTCCTTTCTATGAATAGCCCCTATTCTGACTTCCAGACATCTGTCAACCATTGGTATACAAAACGCCACATATATCACTCATGGATGTTATGAGTTTTTTTTAGGCGCTACATGTCAGGAAACAGGAAGAAGGCCTAAGAGAACACGTAAAGATGTAAAATACATTTGTATGAATATGTACATATGTACTTAGTGAGTGTATATGCATGTGTGTTATTACACTGTCACAATAGTACTTATAAAGTAACCATTTTCATGGAGCACCAGGGGAACGTTGTAGTTATGAATATTTTTGTGTGTATTATCTGATGTGACTATTCTAACACCATGCTGAATCATGTAAAGCACTATTTTACAACTAATTAAAAGTGTGATAACTGGAAGAATACTACTATGTTCAGACTCCAAGTTGAAATTCATGAAGCCTTGTAAAATTTTCAGGGAACCACTCCCATTTTCTGCCTCTTTGACAGCATCTTCTTTCTCATTTTCTAAAATCTTGGAGTTACCCATTTCTTCCACTTGTTTTCTAGGGAAGTAACATTCATTTTGATCATGGTTTTCACGATTTCTTATGGGTTGAGGCCTAGCATGTAGACTCCAGGCAAAAGAGTGGATCAGGTCAGAGGGAGTAGGGAGCTAGAGTTAGAAAAGTTAGGAGACCCCCATCATATGACCTTGCATAGTGTTAGGCACTTTGGCTTATACCCCAAAGTTTCAAATATGATGAAATTAATTTTCTTCTTAAGGTGGTGAATACTTCATTGGGAAATAGAAGAATACTTTGTGAGCAAAAAACATGCCTCCTAAGTTCAAGCGCCATTTAAATGATGATGATGTCACCGGTTCTGTGAAAAGTGAAAGGGTAAGTTCAGAAGCTTAAGCTATAAAGAAATTGAACACAAGTTTTCATTCCCTGTAAATGACAGAAAAACATCTCAATATCTGGTTGTTCTAAGAAAAGTGCTGATCCTTTTCCTGTTCATCTTAAGGGTCTTAAGGGATGGTTTGGTGGCTGATACCTCACAATCAAAGAAAGGTTAACAACAGATTTATTTGATCATAGTTTTATGTTGTGTGACATGGGAGCCTTCAGATTGAAGACCCAATGAGCCAGTGTGTACTATCCATTTTTATGCTTAGGTTTAATGCATAGACAGACATTCGATTGGAAAAAAGGCTGTGATCTAATAGTATAGACAAAGGGTGGGGGGGGTTGTCAGTAAGGCTCGTCCCTGCACATTCTTCACAGCCTCTGTGTTCTTTTCTTCCGGGTATGGGACAGGACCTTCCTGGAATGGAGATCTTAAGACCGGTCAGCAAACAAGGTAGAATGTTTTTATGGCCAATTCTTAGGTAGAAAGATGAGGGGAAGATTGGGGCACTATTCTAAGGTTTTATGGCCATTTAAATTAAATGTGCACAAGTCATTGGGTTTCAGTATATTGACAGAATTATGCAACAGCTACAATGAATTTTAGGGCATTTCAGTATCCCTAAAGGAAGCCCAGTAATCACAATTTTTCTCATCCTCTCAGCCATAGGCAACCAAGTATCTATAGATTTACTTATTTTGAACATTTTATGTAAATGAATTATGTAATATGTGTCCTGTTACTGACTTCTTTGACTCAGCCTCATGTTTTCAAGATTTGTCAGTGTTGTTGTATTTATCAGTACTTTAAATTCCCCTTTATTGCCAAATAATATTCCATTATGTGGGGGTACCACTTTTAGTTACCCATTCATTAGTTGTTGGACATTTTGGGTTCCCTTCCATTGTAGTTTAGCTGTTTCGAATACTGCTGCTATGATTATTAGCATATACATTTTGTTTGAACAAATGTTTTCATTTCTTGGGTATATACCTAGAAGTAGAATTGCTGGATATGACAGTAACAATGTCAACCTTCAGAGAACTCTCAGACTTGTTTTCCAAAGTGGCTGCACAGCCTTTGACCTTCCCAGCAGTAGTGTGTGAGGCTTCCAGCTTTTCTCCATCCTACTGGATGAGAAATGGTGTCTTATTGTACCGCTAACACTCATATTTATTCAGTGAATGTTGATTTCCATGCATGTTTCTCGGTGTAAACTGTAATCAACACACAGTCTTTAGTTATTGTCTTCAGAACAGGATAATACATTGTTTTCTTATAATTTGAGCAATCTTTGCTTTATATATTTTGAAATTATATTACCAGTATACAAACATTCATTGCTATTAAGTCTTTTTTGCAAGTCTTCTTGGAGAGTATTATAAAATCCTACTTGATTATTAATGTTTTGTTCTAAAGCTTGTCTTTGGATTACTAACATTCTTTTTGTTAGAATTAACCAGTGTATCTTTCCTCAACCTCCCCCATTCTTTATTTGACATTTATTTTAGGTGAATTTCTTGTAAACAAAGAAATATTGGCAGGACTTTTTGGAACCCTGGTCATACACGATTCTGTTTTTAGCGGGTCACTCATTCGCTGTGGTAGCTAGTGCAGTTGGGCTTCTGCGCCAGCTAGTCTGTGCCAGCAGTGACTGCTCTCTGTTGTCTTTGGCTGACTTTGTTATCTTTTGAACCTTAGGTTACATATAATCTCTTCAGAATGATTTTCCATCACAACCTAAATCTCATGTGATCAGCCCTTCACTTTCAACCTCATCAGTGTTTGAATTCTCCACAAGGCATTTGTCTCAGGAGCATATTTTTCTTTGAGAGCTGAGACCATGTCAGAGCTCATGCTTGGTGTTTAGAACAATGCTGAACACACAGAATGGTCAGAAATACTTGTTAATGAGTGTTTAATGGAGCCTTTTTCTTCTTTATCATATGTCACATATTATTTCACATAGATATATGGCTTTCTTCCATATGTATTTCTTTTATTTTCTCTTTCTCTTATACCCTTTGCCAGATTTTTTTTCTCATCCCTTGCCTTGCCCCTGGGACTACTAGGCAGCTGAATGAATTTATTCTTTTTCTTCCTCTTTGCTTTCTTTTTTTTAGCTAAGTATTTTAGCAGTACTGTTTAAATCTGTGCTCCTTGTCAGCATACCAAAATGATACCCCTTTGCATTTTACTCTTTTGTTTCCTCTCCCTGCCTTCTCCTCTCACTAAGATGAGTACATCCTCCTACTTCCTCCGTTCAGACTCCCTCTCTCAGCTTCTGAGTTTGTTAGGAAAGTTGTAAATTCTTTTAGAACGTTCTTTATGTTAGCTTTTCCATTAATTTGTAGTTCACAATGACATCACACATATATATTTTTCTTTTTTTTCTTTGTAGGTGTGGCATGGTTTTATGTGTGTGTGTGTGTGTGTGTGTGTGTGTGTGTACGTGTACAAGTGCCCTCACCCATGTATGTGAGTGTGAAGGCCAGAGGTCAACATTAGGTATCTTTCTCTATCTTGAGACAAGGTCTCTCACCAAATAGCTTGCTGATTGGCTAGGCTTGCCAGCCAGAGAACCCATAGGATCCTCCTGTCTCCACACCCCAGCACTAGGCTTTTACATGGATACTGGGGAACTGACTCAGGTCCTCATTCTTCTACAGCAAGCACTGTACCCACTGAGCCATCTTGTAGCCCTCATCAGACATTTAAAATTGACTGTACATTCGATTAGATTCTTTGTATGTATTTCTTACTTTTTTTTTTTTTTTTTTTTTTTTTTTTTTTTTTTTTTTTTTTTTTCTTTTTTTTTTTTTTTTTGCTTTGCTTTGCTTTGTTTTGTTTTGTTTTTTTGAGACAGCTGGCCTAGAACTTTCTATGAGACCAGGCTGGCCTTGATCTGACAGAGATCCACCTGCCTCTTTCCTCCCAAGAGCTGGGATGAAAGGCATGAGTCACCATACCCAGCTGTCATCATCTTTGTCTTAAGACTTTAGTTCTAATTTGATTTTCTTTTGGACTGGCCTAATTCCTTGAATAATGTCCTCAGAAAAGTTACATGGGTGATTGGTTTCCCATTGCTGTTAAAAAAAAAAAATAGGGCTGGAGAGATGGCTCAGCAGTTAAGAACCCCTTGCGGAAGACCCAGGTTTGAATCCCAGCACCCACATGGCAGCTAACAACTGTCCGTAACTCCAGCTCCAGGGGATCCCACAGCTTCTTCTGTCCTCCGAGGGCATTGCACGACACGGGTGAACTTACTTACAAGCAGGCATAACACTCATAAAAATAAAAATAATAAAATATTTTTTACAAAAGTAAGAATACCATAAAGTTAAAGCACCACAAATTTACTATTTCACATTGTCTTGGGGAGAAATTCTTTTCTTGCTTTCCCAAGCTCCTAGAGACTGCCTGCCTTTCTTGCCTCATACCCTTCCTCCTCCTTCAGTTCCAGTCTCAGTTCTTTCCCTGTCCTTCCCTCTCTCTTTTAGAAGAGCCCTTATTCTTAGTTGGGACCCACGTGAATAATTGATAAGGAACTTAATCACATCTGCCAGGTCTCCCTCACCCAGCAAGTGAGCAGATTCACAGATGCTGGTTATTGGGACATGAGCGTCTTTGGAACACCATTATTCTGCCTGCAGGAAATGGTATACCGTGTCTGAAAGGTCTGGATTTTGCTCTTCTTTAGCCTCCTTTTAGGACCTCATACTCCCCTTTTGGGGAGAGTGTGGCACCATCTTCATTTAAGGAAGACTGTCTTAAAATGTAAAACTATGAAGTTACCTTTGCCATTAAAATGTGGGTGGAGGGCTGTTTCTGGACTATGTAGAGGAGCCTTTGGCTCTCGCTCTAAAGCCACCCTTCCCTACTCCTCTCTGGTGCAGCTCCCGGACTCCACAGTTAAGTTCTGCCACTAGAGAGTGCAGAGAATGGGAGGAAGGGCCAGCCTTGCTCCTGCCTGGCCACTTGTATGGTCAGTGTCAGGACTCGGGAATTGAAAGCACTTTCTTTGGAAGGTCAGTGGATGTTGTTCCATGTCTTCTATCTTCCCATGAAGTGTACGCAGTTACTCTTCTCTGTTTCCAGAAGCCTGTTAGAGAATGTCAGGGATCTAGAACTCATTTCATTACTCCTCCCTGACATTTTGTGAGCCCTGTGTGTCTGAAAACTCAAGTCTTACTCATTTTTTGACAGAGAAATCTTTTGGAAGATGATTCAGATGAAGAAGAGGACTTTTTTCTGTAAGTTTTTTTTTTTTTCGCTTTTCAGATTATAATTATTGTACAATAAAGTACATATATTTAAAATGTACTTTGAGGGGCTGGAGAGATGGCTCAGTGGTTAAGAGCACTGGCTGCTCTTGCGGAGGACCTGGGTTCGATTCTCAGCACCCACTTGTTGGCTAACAACCGTCTGTAACTCAAGTTCCAGGGAATCCGATGCCCTCTTCTGACCTCTGCGGGCATTGCACGACACGGGTGCACTTGCACGCATTCAGGCAATAAATACACTCATGCACATAATAATAATAATAATAATAATAATAATAAATATGTACTACACTCATAATAATAATAATAATAATAATAATAATAATAATAAATATGTACTAAAAATCCTCAGTGATACCATCATCAAACACAGCTTTCACCTTAGAACACTCCTTGTACCCTTGGTGAGCTGTTGTCTCCCAGCTGTAGGTACCTAGGAATCTGCTTTCTGTCACTATAGTTTCTGTTTCCTAGAATTTTACATAAATGAAGCCATGCAGCACACCTCCCACCACCACTTTTTTTTTAAAGCTGGCTTCATTTGCTTAACATAATTATTTTGAGATCCATCCGTGTATCACTAGTTTGGGAGTTTGTTTTTCTACATAGCATTCCATTGTTTGAATACACTACAGTCCGTTTATCCATTCACTTGTGTATGGTAATTTGAGTTGTTTTTTTCTACTAACACAAATAAAACTGCTATAAATGTTGGTGTGCAGGTTTTTCTAAGGACGTATGCTTTATTTCCTGTTCTTTTTGTATTGTGTGTGTTTGTTTTTTAATGTTTGTTTTTATTTTATTTATTTATTTGGTGTTTTTGAGACAGGGTCTCCCTGTAGCCCCAGCTGTCCTGGAACTCGCTATGTAGACCATGCTGGCCTTGAACTCACAGAGATCCACTTGCCTCTGCCTCCTCAGTGCTGGAGCTACAGGTGTGCGCCACCATACCTGGCTATTTTTTTTTAATATTTTATATATTATTTTTATTTTATGTGTATGAGTGTATTTTCTGCATGTATGTGAGTAACACCTGTGTCCTGAAATGCCCCCATGTGGGTGCTGGGAATCCAACCTGGGTCCTCTGCAAGAGCAGTCAGTGCTCTTAACTGCTGTGCCATCTCTTCAGCCCCATGTTTGTTTTTAACGTAAACATTTTATAAAAAGACATTGAAACTGGATGTGGTAGCAAGCGCCTGCAGTTCCAGCTTCTTGTAGTGGGAAAATTTCTTGAGTCCAGAAGTTCAAGTCTAGTCTAGGTAGTGCAGATCCCATCATTTAAAAAAAAATTGAATAGGCCATGCGTAGTGGTGCATGCTTTTAATTGCAGCACTCCAGAGGCAGAGGCAGGTGGATCTCTGTGAGTTCAAGGCCAGCCTGGTCTACATAGTGAGTTCCAGGCCAGCTGGGGCTACAGGGAGACCCTGTCTCAAAAAGTCAAACAAAACAAATTGAACAAAGCTGAAACCTGTAAAGATTGCCAATACAGTAGAAATCCAGTCCAAGAATAGGAATTGGACCGTTTGGGTAGAAATGTGAGATACGAAGAGCTAATTTTCTGTAGGTCACATATTTCCACAGAATAGACTAAGAAGAGAGCTATGCGTCCAAAAAGAGGTCAGTATTGAAAGGAAGACCAACTGTCTTGGCCATACCTGTGTGGCTCCTTTTCTGGACTATCCACTTCCATCTGTCTCTGTGTCTCATATCAGTACTGTACTTTACTGACTACTCTGATATTGTTAGTAAGTTGTGAAATGTGTGGTATGTCCTCTAACTTAGCACTTCCTTGTAAAGGTACTTTTGGCTAATAGTTGGAGGTATTAAGAATTTTAGTATAACTTTTAGAATCATCTATTTCTACAGAAAATCCTGCTGGAATTTTGATTGAGATTGCATTCAATCTACAGACCAGTTGGAGAATTAATATCTTAACAATATTGGCTTTTTGACCCATGAGCACAGTGTACCATTGTATTTGTTAAGGTTCATAATTTCCACAAGGTCTAGTAGTTTTCAGTGCCCAGATTTTGTATGTTTGGTTGTATTTATCCTTAAGTATTTCATACTTTGTGATCCTGCTAAAAATAATGTTTAAATATTTTAATTTA